AGACATTTAGAGGCCAGCTATCCCTAGATGTTGGGTTCCAAACGCTAATGCTACGATTCAACTGAGGTCCTAGATGCGAATTTTATTTGTGTGCTACATATTTCAATTATGGCTAATATTTCTATTTAACATCCTTTTTTTAATTGATACCACGCATACATCGATTAATTACATATTAGAAGATAGAATTTTTCACAAACATCACAAATAATACAATTTAGGTCTCACGTTAATACACATTACTTTGTTAAATATTTTAGTTAATGTAAAATTACGTAAATTTTACACGGCGCAGACCGCACATTCACCACGAAAGCTCGTCAGTCTCTCGTTAATGCCAGTGCTGAAGGTATGAGCTTGTATTTCAGACGCATAATTGAGCAATGACAGTTGCATACTCCGAGCTTGATGTGCCCTTTGTTCCGCGGGTTCCCACTGATATGTATGTGCAAAAACCTTCGAATTCGGTTATTGGTTGTTTTGCCTTTGTAATAGAGTGTTAAGAGAGCGTATGGGTGCAAAACTCCCAGTTATAGACTGGTAAATACATTGTGGTAGGTCCAGTCTGATGTGCACGAAAACACTATATGTATTTGAAATGAAGTTAAACAAAATGTACTTAAACAGATTGTCTTGTTCTCTTAATTTTCCAAGTAATGAAAAATAGGTCTGGTTACATCCGATTCAACTTCGACAAACTATAATATTGAACACGAAAATGTGGTAATGGTGACAATAATATAGCTAATGTTGCTGATATTGCTGATGAAGAGGACATGAGGATATTATCGGTTTTTCCCATGAATAGATAATTACTAGAGTTGTATGTGAAGAGCTATGATAAAGATAGCTGGCAATGTTTAGGGGAGAGAAAATTGTAACAGGTTCACTTCCGCTGAATCACGCAGAAGGATTATGGAAAACAGCAGAATTAAAAGCATTAAAGACATTGAACGCGTTTCAAAATGTGATAATTGAGGACTGCCACTGGACCGTTCTTTTTCTGCCGATGCGAGGAGAGTGGTGGGAGGCTGAGGCCCCGTTGCATCCACCCCACCAAGAGCAAAAAACATCTAAATTTCTTGTCACAAGCAGTAACTTTTGCTGTCCTTAGGCTCTCTATAACGAGATTCACATTAACGCAGTAAATGACAGAGAAGAGATGTCTATCGTTTCAGGCTCCATACAACTCCAGAGCACTCAATATAAAAACAATATAACTGTTTCATAGTAGTCCAACATTGTTACGTTGCACGGCTTTCGCAACTTTCCCCATCCTTCAGATATCAACTTCCGTTAAGCAACTTTTGTTCCAGGTGAAGATATTTTTTTGTTTTTGAAACTATAACGTTTTCGAAATTATCAAGATTCAATTCTCAAAGCACAATTTTTCTAAGAAACTGAATGGCTTCGCTAACAGGTGTTTACAGTTCATTGCTTTCTTCTGATACTAGTTATCTTTTTATAGACATTGTCTGCCAGGTTTGTAGATGTTAGAATGTTAACATTTTAGAATCTGAACTTAACTAGGTACATAAATTTGTTAGTAATGTTGGAACAATGATATTCGCGCTTCTCTTGCAACATTTATTAACTTGTAAAGTAAAACTTCAGATTCTCGATAATGTTAATGGAACGTACCCATAGAAGTTGCATTAACATAATCTTAATGAAATTCGGAAATCCGCATTGAAGTACTATTTTAGGCGTTTTCATAATTCCGTGACGACTTTGTTACCATTGTTTGTATTACGTGTGTTGTTTGCACTCCCACTCACTGTAAGAGGCACTGTATGAGTAGCCATAGAAGTTATGTAGTGGCGCGGGATGTGGGTGATGGAGAGGCAGAATGCTGGGGATGGGGTGGGGGGTCCGGCATGACACCACCGCTGTAAACGGTGGATGAAGTAAGGCGTCATTAGAGTGTTGAGGAAAAATGACGTATATAATCAATTTAGAGAGAGAGAGAGAGAGAGAGAGAGAGAGAGAGAGAGAGAGAGAGAGATTATTAAATCGCAGTTGATTCTTATGAATCAGTTATAAAGATGGGACCATGTCTTAGCTTATAGAAGTGGTCGAAAGCTGTGAAAGTTTCCTCTTCTGATTATAAGACGTTTAGAAGAAAGAGGAAAATCACAGACGCTGTGCTTTATCTGCATTGTAGCAGGCAAAATATTATATTAAATTGGATCAGTAGAGTTTGAAATTACAAGAATACAAATCAGTAATTCAGAAAATAGATTGGAAATCAAAGGCGGTCGAGCGATGCAGTTTGGGAAGCCATCTTGAAGAAAACACGAAATGGAATGAAGAGGAATGGATGGAAGAGAACACGTTCGTGTTAATTGGTTACGTTTTTTTGCAACGCTATCGCATCTGTCGCCTCCATCTATCTCTTCTTCAAGAGGGGATGCAAAACCATCACGAATATTGCCCAGGTTCGTGAACTAGCCCACAGAGAGCGAAGGAAATCGCGGCGCTCGAGCGAACACAAGCGCCAATTGATAAGGCTTATCACACAGCTAGTACTTACTTTCTGGCACATGGCGAGATTCTCCGTCCACGTGTAGTACAAGAGATTCACGAGGTGCCTGCTCATGAGGTGGTCAACCGTGAAGCTGTTGGCTAGCATTGGCCACGACCCCTTGATGCTAATGTCGGTGTAGTTGGACAGCGGCTTCTCGAGCGGGAAGTGGCTCACCACATCCACCTGCATACAGACAAATGATGCTGAGCTCAGGAATAGTCATGCTTTCCACGACAAATGATACTATACACAAGTGCATCCGAGAATGTGCATCTAGCCGTCTAAAGCCAGCTTAATACCGCTCTTTTTTTCGGCCTTTTCGTGTTCAGAAAGTGGTTAAAAGTAGAATTTCCTATTGTTTGACTATCGAGAGTGGGTGATGAACAGGTTTTTAAATTTCATTTAGTTTGATGATCGTTATTGCGATGATGAAAATATTTCTTCCAGACGCCGTCAAGGAGTGTTGAAGATAACAGGTTGAACATTTCAGCTGTTGGAGTGAGCGACCTAGAGACTACACAAAAGATGTAGTGTGATGTTAAGAGTAAATAATAATTTGGGTGTCTGAGTTTTGGGAGGTACAAACATTTTTGTTCGCAGGAGTTGGGAATCAGTAGTAACTACGGCGGCCGTTGACTTAAAATGGCCGCAATTGTTGTGTCAGAACGCACTAAGAAAAAGCTGAATACATTATAAAATAGTTCCGAAAAGTGCCAGCAAGAGCATGGTAGTCAAACCAAATGTATGAAAATATCCATTTTTACATTTCCTCCCTATACTACAGTAAAAGAGAAAAATATTTGAATCATCTCAACAATACGATTTAAAATTTTTGGCCGTAAAATCGGTATGTAAGGTTCTTTTGAGGTGTAACAGTGCAAACACGTCAGGGTGAAGACCTATTGGCAGTGGTGAAGCTGAAGGGTGACCTGAGATTAGGATAACGAAATTATTTTTCAACACAATGTGTTAGGTGTACGTTTTTCAATACTTTTTTACTGGATCGTTAAAGAAACTTCAATATTTTCGACTCCTTTTCCCCGGGTTACGCGGGAGGGACTCAATAGGGCCGCTGAGCCAGGGAGCATGGGCTGAGCTGGGAGCTTGCTCGTGGACAGACACCGGCTGGCTGCGTCGCGCGTCATCTCCCCCTCTCTCGCACTCACTCGGAAGGAGCCCAGGCTCAGCCAGGTGCAGCGCAGTCATGTACCTCGCTGCACGATGTGGGAAATAGGAGTATGTTGTTTGTATGCCGTTTGTTGTTTGTGTTTTCTTCATGAAACAGTTAATGAAGTTACAGATTTAGTTTTACAGAGAATCTCCCACCAACTTCAGGCCACTCCCATAACTTCTAAACTGTTCACAATATCGATATATTTGAAAGGCAAACAAATAGTTTATTTTTAAAAGATGACACAGAAATGACTGAGATGGAATATCGATTTCAAGATTTTGAAAACTTCTATTTTATTGAATTTCTTGGCGTAAAGCAGTTTTCCACCTACAAAACGTCCTTTCCTACAGAATTTTTTTTCCTATTAAAAAATATCGATTCCTTGACAGTGAGCAGTTTTGAAATGAACCGACAAATGTATTATTTGACTTATCGCTGACGTATTTCTTAGACAACGATCTAGAAACGAAATATCAAGATACTGTTCTGTTTATACTGTTCAATCCATTTTTCCCTAAATCTACAGCATTATGTAAAAGAAATACTATTACATAAAAGAGCGTGAAGAGATTCCTAAGAAATACCATATTATATATTAGGCTGAGTAATTTGAGTGCACTGGCTATCGAAAAGTGTCTGTTAAATTAACTTGCAAGGGACGACAGCTTTAGAGAACAAGTTATCTATGTTTTTGCTGAACGATAAGCCTGATGAATGGAGCTGAGTTACAAAAAAGTGTAAGGTAAGATTTTCAGGATATCCAACTGCATGATTCTACCTTCGCCCCTGCCTATTGGTAATGTTCCAAAGAAAGGTTAAGATTGGTGCAGATGGTGGGGAGATACTTGCAGATTTGAATTTTTATACAATTCAATTTGAATGTTAATTTTGCACATCTTGTAATTAAACACTACGGTTGATTTCGATATGACTTCCATTCAGACTTTTGCAAACCGGTCAAAGCTGTAAAATTTCGGAGAATTTCAATGAGATGTAAAATTTTGTCCCTAACATGTATGCCAGCGTTAACTTCAATTTGTGATGATAAGGAATGATAAAATTAGAGCATCGAGCACTGAACATACACGAACAAGCCCTAATTCACTCTACAAAGAAGCAAGTAGTGAAAAGAGATTGACAAACGGTATGAGATGTGTTTGCGAGCCGCAGTGGCTTGTGTATGGCCGTCATCTTACCTGGTGGCCGCGCTTTGCCAGTTCCTGCAGCAACGGCTCGAAAATGATGAAGTGACTACGGGCGGGAAAATAGAAAAGACCCAAAATGCGGCCGGCGTTGGAGCCTCCAGGTGCTCCCGCTAGGAGCAGAGTAAGCGCCCAAACACACAGCCAGCGCCCTCTGGACCCCAAGCTCATGGCGGCAGAAGCGATTCACCCCCGCCCGACGAGACTGGAAACCAAGATAATTGTAGTTACTTTGCTTTATTCTAAACAAAATAAATATATATTCTACTTTACAATAAAATAATTAGTAAAAATGTTATCTTTGATAGTATATAATGACATTTTATGTGTGAATGTATCTCTAATCCAATCTAACTAAATGTTCTTAGCCTACTTAACTTCAATGCAAATGGAAAAAAGAGACAAGAAAATTCCTTCCGACATTTCTTAAAGAGCATAAAATAATAATAGCATGTTAAGAAACTCACCTCATACCAGGCGAACGCTTTTCAATACCCAATTTCAAAATTTATCGTAATGATCGTATTTCAACAAATGCTTCAGGCGGAGTAGCCGTCATAGTTCGAAAAGATATTAAGCATATTCACTTCCTGTTCCGCACTCAGTAGACTTAGAAGCAATAGAAATTAACATTAGTTACAATAAATCGGAAGTCGTTATCACTGCAGCATATAGACCATCTAACAAAAACGTTCCAACTGAATACGGAAAAATATTTTCTCAATATACCCGATTTATATTGATAGGTGACTTAAAAAGCAAAAACAGTGCCTGGGACTGCAATGTGACTACACATCAAGGTGCCAAACTGTTTAATCTCATTAACGCAAGCGGTCACAACAGTAGTATTCATGCCCCTATAGAACCCACCCTCTACCCAACAGATCCAAAAAAGAGAGCGGACATTCTAGATATAATCATTACAAAACATATGACCTCACCGATCTATCAGAAAGTAGTAGCAGATTTAGAGTCTGACCATTCTCGTTCTGACCATATCGTTGGGTATTCCGACACTCACTTTAGAGAAAATACCGAAAGAAATCAAAGGTAAAATTACCTGGAATCATTTTCGTGACTTAATAACTCGCAGTTTAATGTACCCATGTAACATGATCTCAAGTGAAGACATAGATATTGAATTAAACAAACTCAATAACTGCATACAACAGTCATTAAAATACGCGCCTATAACTTTCTATCAGACAAACAGAAAGTCAAAAACCACACTGTCTAAAGAACTTCTTGACCTAATTAAAAAGAAGAGAAAAATACGACGTATTTGGCAATCCAAGAGAAATACAAACAATAAAGTGAACTAAATCGCATCTCAAAAATTGTCGATTTTCGAGATGAATTCAGATTTTCAAACTTTCATAAATTCCTAAGCCAACTTCACCAAAATACCAGACCGCTATGGAAAACAAAAGTATGACAAAAGAAAGAACAGAGCTGCCGCCTTTAAATAATAACGGTAAGATAGTATACTCAGACGCTGAAAAGGGAAACGCCATAGCAGAATATCTAGAAAGTGTCTTCATCCCAATCCTACTTTCAATTCAGAAGTAGAAGGATACATGAAACTACCTATGTACACTGTTCCAACAAAAATAAAATTCATTTCTCCTTCAGAAGTGGCGAATATCTTTAAGCTTTCAAAGACTAGAAAAACACCCGGGTACGACAACGTTACTAACAAAGCATTAAAAGAACTTCCTCCGCAAGCAATAGCAATAATAACAGCGATATTTAATGCACCGTTAAGAATAGGATACTACCCGATATCATGAAAACGGGCTGTTATACTTCTATTCTGAAAACCAGGCAAAAACCCAAAACCTTCAAGCAATTACAGACCTATCAGCCTTCTCCCTTGTATAGCAAACTTTTTTGAAAAACTTGTTTTAAATAGACTGAAAACATACTTGACAAAAATTAATGCAATTCCCAACACCACATTCGGTTTTAGACCGAAACATGCAACTACCCATTAACTGCTGCAACTTGTAGTAACCGGTAAACCTTGTAATTGTAAACGGTTTTAACAATAAAAATCACACAGTAGCTCTCTTTTTAGACGTCTCACAGGCATTTGACCGAATTTGTCACTAAGGATTATTGTACAAACTACAAGAAATTGGAACACCTGATTATCTGCAGCAACTAATTCAAAGCTTTCTCTCAGACAGATTTTAGCAAAGGAGGATAAATTATGATATGTCACCGCTTTACCCAATTCTCGCAGGTGTCCCACAAGGGTCACCAACACTTTTCTCAATATTCACAGCAGACTATCCAACTCCACACGAAGCACGTATAGCTCTTTATGCTGACTACACCGCTATTTTAACTTCACATACAGATATAAGCTTAGCCTGCGATTACATACAATCCTACATTTACAGTTATACAAACTGGACCAAAAAATGGAGAATTAAAATTAACCCCCTAAAATCACAATCTAAAATATTCACTCTGAGACGTCCTCCCTTCCCTACACCCCTGCGAATAAATAACACGGATTCCCCTGGCTTTCTCATTCTTCACCAGCCAAATACCAAGGTGTCATACTGGACAAACGACTAACGTGCAAACCGCACATTTAATCAACAGCCCATAAGACACGTGCCAAAGTTCTAAAGCTATACCCGTTTATCGACAGAAATTCCACCCTCAGTATAGAAACTGGGCTACTCATCTATAAAATGATAAGACCCACAATGACATACGCATGTCCAATATGATGCAACATAGCACCAACCAATCTATCCGTTTTACAGACAATCCAAAATAAATATCTAAGACAAACTTTGAAAGCCCCCTGGTTAATTTCAAATTCACAAACCCACCGAGAGCTTCAAATACCTCTCATCTCAGAATTCATCCCACAAACTTCTGAAAAATATTGTTCTCTCCTCCCAGCATGCACCAACACTCCAATATTCAATCTCGGCCAAAACGCACATTATCCATTACGCATTAGATCCAGATTCACCAAAGATCTCTTTCGCCCACCCTAATTCATAAAATTATTTGCCCCCTTTTCCTACAAACACTCTCCCTCCTCCTCTAAACTACAAATGCAAACTTCTCTTAGTGAAGATATCCAAATATGAAATTTTAAAAACTAGTGAATGGTTATTCCGTGACCCACATTTGCCTGAGAATGGCCAAGTAAAGTCATTATATGTAACATTGTACCCATCAAAACTCCCGAAAGACAAAGGTCGAACGGGAAGAAAATTTTAAAAAAAGCTTTATCTGCTTGTATAATTCTACACAATATCATTAAAGACCTTGATGCAGTTCTTATCATGAATGCCTTTCTTAAAATGAATGAAATGTTTACCAGGTAAGATAATCTATGAAGCATGTCTTCAAGATAAGATAAACTGATATGTTGTAAATTAAATATTTGTATATTGATACAGGAGAAACGAAGTCATTGTCAATATTCCTTCGTACACACTCGCTTGTTTTTTTCATTTCTATGCTGATAATTGTCGAAATAAAATGACATAATTGTTTACCAAATAAGTATTGTAAAGCATCTTAATCATTACAATCCAATATTGGAGATTTATCAAACGAAGACGTTACGCCGAGTTGCATAACCAATCTAGTATTGCAATAAGATTTTACTAAACAAATGTGGTACAACTTTTAAATCGTTTGTAAAACTTCCCCTTTTTTTCCCCTTTTTTTCTAATAATACAACGCATTTACTAAATTGATGATAGTTGATAATAGGAGACCAAAGAAGAAACCATTTGTTAACTTAGAACACTTGTGTTATTGGAAAACTTGTATTCTAACAACGTATTAGAAAACTGATTGCTCCCTGATTCGTTAATTACAAACAAATTTAAAACAAGTATTTTTGGTACTTACGGTACATTTCGAGCGCAGTCTTTAGTTTAGTCGATGGTAGAACAGTTCAAAAAACGTACTTTCGTACTTCGACTAGAAATAAACATACCTTGGACAATTCATGCGATAAATGCGTGTTGGTTACTGACTAGTCCTTATGACATGACAACTTTCTTTACAAAATGATCCAAACATTCAATTTCAAAATGAAGTTGAAAATCTCCCTCGTGCTGACAGTCGGTATGTGCGCTTTTTTAGGATTGCATTCAGTACCCCATGGTGAAGTAGGGTCTTGTGATATAGCAGTTAGGAATGTAGATATGTGATTTATTATCCTAAAAGTCTTGTGGGTTTTATCATAGTGGGAGTAATTCAATAACACATTCAAGTGACCATTTGTAGGTCGAAAATGGTACATTAGGTAGAAGTTTGTTGGGTGTAATAAACACAGTAAACAAATACTAATACTAACACATGTATTAAAGATATATGTATTCACAAGTTTGTTATAAAAATTAACTATGGAATTAAATCGCAGTGAAGAAGTATATATGGTAAGTTAGATGCTGAAAATTAATAAAATACCACCAGCATGTGCATTACTAGGTTCCATGTAACTTTTCTTTCATTACATCAAAGAAAAACGTTCCATAAATGCAATGTATTCACTCCTATAATAATCAAGGCTTCCAATGAATAGCAATTCACTTATTCGTATATACACTATATGTAGTCAAAAATAAATTACAGATTTTCAAGTAACGTTTTGCATCTTACCTTACTTTTTCGCTGAAAAACTGGTGGTATGTTTTTTTCAGCGTTTAAATCAAGTGATTAGTTAAAACGTTATAAGGGCAGGAATAAATAAAATTTATGGTGAAAATTAACGAGTAAAACCAATGCTCCTGTCCAACTACTCGGGTCGAGGTCAAAGGAGAAAATATATCGTTTTATCAGACTGAAAAAAGAAATTATTAAAAAATTCTTTTAAAATAATGGTTTTCTTCATAGACCCTATTTATTTTTGACGACTCATACGAAATTATCAGAATTCAAATAATTGCAAATTACTGACTTAAATACTTGTATAATAATGGGGCAAATAACATGAACAAAGTATGGAAAAATTGGTGATTTTGTTTACTATTATTAAGTATTTTTATACTTACAAAGATATATATATATATATATATTATATATTATATATATATATATATACAGCGTATGATATCACTAAAGCAATCATTTCACACTTGTTTTCAATGCCCTCTTTTGGTGAGCCTGTGGAAATGTGTGAAAGCTTTCACGATAGATTCGAAGATATTGAACATAGTGATATGATTTCCGCACCACTCGGAGTCAATGTACTCGTATCCAGCTGGCAAAGAGGCACTCACGTGTGTGCGAGGAAGTCCCTCCGGCTCCTGTCTCCGACCGTCCGCGGGGGCTACGCGCCGACGCCACTGAGCTCGTCCCCTTGCAGTCGACGAGTCTCGTTGCGTCACCGCCCACTCCGCCAGCGAACCAGCGAACCACCGCACCACAACAGAGACAGAGAACGACCATCCCTCCCCTCGCGGCTTTATATACGCGCGCTTATCTACACAATGAATCGCACAATTTTCTAAACATTAATGAGAAGGTAACCCAGGCACTTTGCAGTAGGCACAAAAATAGCATTTCTGTGTTTATCTGTTTAGGAGCTCTCGTCTAATTGGTCAGTCCACGCCGATGACGAAACGATAGACACCATGGTAGGACATATGCAAGCAAAATCACGGTCACGGCCCAATGTGGATTATGAATGTGGCCGTTACTGAATCGTTCCAATTGAAACGAACCCAGGATGACTGTCATTTTATCAGGCAATTGCTGCAAGTTCTATTCAGTCATTTAATTTGCAACTCATCTGGTCTGCGCTAGTTTCTTACTTTCACCTTATGTAATGCAAATAAATAAATCTACGAAGATCGCATTCGAGAGTTGTTAATTAAATGTCGAGCGTAGAGGTCTTTTCTTAGCGAGGGCGACGGACAAGACTTGTGCCGAGCGTCTTCCCATTTCCTGGACAGAGTAGTGGTTTGACTTCACATTTCACTGCGTTAAGTTTGGGTATGTTATGATTGGTGTTTTTACATGGAACAATGTTCGCGTGACATACGAAGTGTCCGAGACGTCAATCACGACACAATCATGCACTGAAAACACATCGGCATTAATAAGGAATACAAAAGATGATGGAAAGGTAGACACCATGGTAGGACATATTCTACATGCAAAGTCACACGGAAAGAGGTGACTCAGTACCTCAATTAATGTCACTGCTCTGCCCCTGACTGGGTGGTCCTAGTTTCGAGTCCCGAGAGTGGCATGATTTTCGACACTAGCTTGTCAGCTAGGTCGAATTCCATCGCTGGCAGGAGGAGAGCAGAATTCTACAGGCCAGCTGCTGTGAGCGGTAGTTTTCCTTGCTTTCTCCGTTCAACACCAGTACCCTATCAAACGGGCCACGTACCGCAGGCTGTCTTTCATTCCTTTTCCTTGTCTGATTCGCTCACTTTTACACTAACATGCACCACACTACCATAAATGCCGGGAGACCAGTCGCGAGCTTGGAGCTTGTCCCGGCTGGGGTGGTGCCCCGCTGGTGGGAGATACCTGGTTGAGGGAAACCCCGTTAGCCGACGGTAGGTCGGCAACGGATCTCACCATCCAAAGGGAGAAAATCACAACCACTTTCGGAGGAAAAAGCATGCACAACACTTACAGGACTAATTACTTCATTAGTTTACGCTAACAATCAATCAACAAGCGAAATCACAATCGTGGCCGATAGTAGATGAAAAATATGACCATAACCGGTTGGTTCTGACGGAACGAATGTAAATTTATTGGGCAATTACAACGAGACCTATAGTAATTTAATGTACAAACTGTTGACGATAATTTACTTTCTTTCATATGCAATGCAAATAAACAACACCATGCAAATTAAGTGAGTGGATCTGGAGAGTAGTTAGCTAACTGGCGAGTGTCTCACGCAATTCTGAGCGCAGGGGAGGGAGGAAAGGCGCCCAGCGCCCTCCTATTTCCGGCAGAACGGGAGTTTGCCTTTGTCCTCCACTGTGTGAAGGACAGGAGAGCAATGATGAAAGGTGAATCATGGTTGTGATTGGGACTATGTTTAACTGCAATACATGTTGATACGATGTGCCAATTGCGACATAAACATTTATTCAACCCACTGGACCATAAAAGATTTGCCAAATCAATCATTTCCTAATGATAGCATTTATTTGAATAGCTACAGAGTGTTTTGATTTGATTTAATTTTTGTCAAAGAGCAGTAAAAACTATGTGATACCTACGGGAGAAAAGTATAATCTGCGCTCGATTTCTTGAGCTTTAAATCTCTTACTCACACTTTACTACCCATATTTATATAATAAATGTAGCAACAAAGCGAGGTTAACAACATTTAAAAAACTAAAATCTTTGTTCTGGGTTATAGAAAACGACACATAGTACATCAGTACTACACACAACTCCTAACTTCCTAGAACTAACTGAACGTAAACGCATTTCATCACTTTTCTCTGCCAGACTGTACACCAATAATCCATTATTACTAAATTAATTGTAACTTACCCGTTTGAACTACATTCTCTGCGGTTTGAATTGTGAAGAAGAGAGGCCTACACGATTTACATTTAATATTGTGATATTAACAAATTAAACATTCCCGTTTTGACCTTCCCTTTTTTGCACGAATTTGTAATTGTGAATCATTATGTAATATATTATAAGGAAAAAAGTATTGGAATCACCTCAACAATAGAATATCGAATTTTTGGTTGTAAACGCCTGGTTTAATATTCATTTGTGCTGTAACTCTGCACGTACGTTCGGATTGATATGTGTTAATGCATTTCCAAAGATGATTGAGATTGATGGAAGTAGAGAGAAGAAACATACAAGTTTGTGCTGAAAAATCGGGATGTATTCGTGGATAGATGGACAGAAAGTATTATCTCTGAGTGGGTGAATGGATGTGTCACGCTATAACAGAGATTAGATTTTCAGCTGAAACTCGGCAAATACGCAAGGAGTAAGCTCTAGTTGTGTCATGCCGAGATTATTAAGGTATTTTAGCTTTTAGTGATACTTTACACGAAGCCCCTGTAACATTCTCAAAATTTTCTGAAAAAGGCTAAGAAAAATTGCTCGAATAGAAGAATAATATTAATATATCAATTCTTCATAATGGTTTGTTTCCGTCTCAATACTGGGTTCATCGTACTATACGCAATAATACGATTTTTTATTATTACATATATAATACGTATATTTATATTTTATTATTACTAATATAATGTTTTAAAGTTCATCCAATGACTTTTCAATATTTTTATATTGTCTTAATGTTGTGCTAACATTCAAATTATAATTTTTATCATCCCTCCTCTAACTAATTAGCTTCAAGAGATAAATGGTTCAACATACTTCGTAACATTTTCTGCTATCTCATTCTCTTCCGTAATGGCTAGAGGAGTGAGAATATTATTTTTTAGCACATTAGGAATGTTTGTCATTCCTATTAACAAGACAGTCTTGGAGATCCAAGAATCTCATCCTCACTAACTGGAGAACTACAGTACTGATGCCAGTTGTTCTCCTTTGCGTCCACAGATGGCGGGCACACGGTTGACGCAGGAGATTTTTTAGTTGTGCCATATTTGCATGTTGTGTCGTATTTACGTATGATTGTCAATCTGCCTGAACTTGAGTGGCTTTCATATTACTAGAACTTATTTGTTAGCAAAGCGGTCTCGTTTACGTTTCACTTCTATTTAAGGGAAAACAACATTTTTAGTACGGTTATAAAAAATAATCGAGAAACCTCTGATTTTTGTGGCATGTGTGAATTGACAGTGCAAAAAGAAAAATCTTAACTGCTCATTTACCTCAAGGTATAAGAACTTAAGCCAAAAGTTGTCAATCTATACTACTTACATAGTATACAGAAAAAATTGTAATACTCAAAAAAATGCCGCTTTTCAACAAAAAACTCTTTTTGTACGTCTATGATACCGAAGAAGTGGATAATTCTCGTTCTACTATCCAAAAAATAGCTTTCTCTAATACGTGGTGTAGTCAAATTGCATGTTTTGTGCGTCCTTGACTCCGAAAAAACTGTTTTTGGCACTCCGTCCGTCCGTCCGTCCGTCCATGAACGCTAGTCTAAATCATTTACAGACTTTTCACCAAAAGTAATATTTTTCAGCCGATTTTTTTGATGTCGTTAACACTCAAATTCAAAATGCGTAGAACAATTTTGGGGCATTCTTTACATGACGTCCCAACGACATTGATGAATGTGTATTACGAGTTAGAAAGGGCAGTTTTGAAGAATATTACAATCATATATTTATTTATAATTTAATAATAATAATAACAATAATAATAATAATAATAATGATAATAATAATAATATATTTCGATCCATTTATGCATTTGGTTCTGTTAGCGCCATTAGAAGAGCGGAGAACTTGCTAACCAAGCTCCGTGAAAGCGTAGGCTTCTGCTGGAGGCGGGAGCCAGTATTTACTTGGCTATCCGGGAGACGCCGCATCCAGGGCACCTGTGCCCTGACGCGGCGTCTCCCCCCACCTCGGACGCCAAGTGAAAGGATGTTTGTCTGGTAATCTCGACTAGTAACGGCGTTGAGCTCCTGCCCGGTAAGGGTAAAAGGCAACGACTTACACCTTGATTAGACGTATGACTGGCAGTTCAATGTCAAAAAGACTTGCAAAGTTCACACAAATTTCAAATGTATGGGTACAATGAATGTGTACAAACATCCAGTGATTAAATCGCTGATTGTTTAGTTATTATGCGCTAGTGGTCGCCCCTGTTGCAAACACCATCCCTTGTGTTATCATAAAGTATACAATTTTATTCAAGGCTGAAATACACTTCTAACAGGGTTGATGGAAATAATTTCACGTACTTTAATATATTTCACGGTTCATTGTGTTAGGAGATTTTCAAGTGATAGCTAAATAGAGAGTGAGATAGTAATTGTAAATTATAATATCATGTGGCCTTCACCAATAATACGAAAATGTACGTGCTGTTGTAATATTACTGCCCTTTTAATCATTAAAATACAGCACCTACTCATATTTTTAAAAAAACTGGGCATAATCTGGTTTAATAATCTATTTTTGAAGAATAGACTTTCTTAAGAGAAGACTGTCTTCAATATTATAGCTGTTCAGATTTCAAATATTGTTAATATTTTGCAATTTTCGGTAATTGAGAGGTTTCAATGAAAATCGCACAATTTTAATAATCGTATGTAGCTCTTTTAAGTCATAAAAAATTTAGTTGTAATTGAAAACATGTCAAAATGTATGGACTTCCGTAAAGTACTCCCAAAATAATAAAAGTTCCGAATCAAATTCGAGGCTCGCGACATTAGCCAGATCGATGGACGATGATCAATTTCGTAGAAAATCCTAGGTTAGGTGTAGGAGCTAGCGTTGTTCACAGACCCACGAACAGACCTTTTTTCGGAAACAGCTTTATTCGGGGGGGGGGAATGTGGATTCTGGATACACTGTCTATTCGAGAAATAAATTTGCAGTTCATTGGAGTACGATATCCGCTTTTTCGGTATCAGAATCCCTGAAAAAGAGTTTTGTGGCGAAAAATTGCCAATATTTCTGGAACATTACAATACTTTATTCTCTACTACTTAGAGAATACTAGAATGTAAAAATTAATAAAACGAGTGATTTCGCATTTTAATTATTTTG